TGAGGGATCTGGGAGTTATTTGCTTGCCTTTGGCTCCCTCTAGTGGCCGCATGCTCGCACTATAAGAAAAAGTATCTTTATTGAAACTATAGCGATGGAAAACGATGGGAAATAAATAACTCAGTGAAACAGGTGATCAGAAAAAGTATGAATAGATAGGGCCATATTGTCAGACACTATTAACCAGGGGTACCCAAATAAATTGGCATGAGGTCCACTTACTTGATGAGTTCAATAGATTAGGGTCCGGACATCATACAAATATTTATTTTAAAGAAATCCATTCAATCTATTTCTTTCATATGAAATTATTTGAAACCTTAAAACAACAACAACTACAATAGTAAGAACTATTTGTAAAAAAATCTAAAGATAGGTGTGTTTAATTCAATTCATTAATAATAATTCAACATTAATCTACTTTGTTTATTTCTACACAAAACACCACAAACCTCTCCCAAACTCTCAGAGCAGAGTGTGGAACACATGTTAATTGCGGAGGATAAGGGTATCGTTTTTGAACTGCTTCTTTCTATCAAATAAAGTTTTTGCCATCGCCTCCACTCACTCTGACCATTACAAAGCTCTTTATGCCCGAAATCCACTGCACACTGTCTACTGTGAGCACTTAAGTAGGGCATGCGCTGTTTGTTAATGCTTTAATATGTTTCTGATGTGTACCTCTGTCTCGCTCCTCCTCGCTGCTCCTCCTCACACACCTCTGTCTCGCTCCTCCTCGCACTCCTCCTCACACACCTCTGTCTCGCTCCTCCTCGCGCTCCTCCTCACACACCTCTGTCTCGCTCCTCCTCGCTGCTCCTCCTCACACACCTCTGTCTCGCTCCTCCTCACACACCTCTGTCTCGCTCCTTCTCCTCCTCCGCTCATAAACAGGCAGTGTGAGCAGCTGAACGCGAGCGTCCATCGTTCCGTACACAGCGCTCATTCCCGTTGCTTTCACGTCTCTGATTCTTACTCGGATTCCGACACTGCTAAAGTTATTTTGATTGCTCCGTGGAAGGACCCGCTCCCCACATACCCGTCCTCGCGTCTACCTGTTTATAAATCGCCTTTGGTGACAATTTGACACGTAATTGTAATAATGTATTTTTGAGAAAAGGGTCTCGGCGTCCGGACCTAAGTCCATTGATGACAAAAAAATATTTAATTGATGGTGGAAAAAAAGTACTTACAATATTCACAAATATAAGAAAACAAAACAATAACAAAAAGCGAGCTTAAAATTATACAAATAACTATTTAAGGCACTAACAGGTGAAAAGAGGTGAGGGATCTGGGAGTTATTTGCTTGCTTTTGGCTCCCTCTAGTGGCCGCACCGCGCCAACACACTATTAGTGGCTGCATGCTCGCACTATAAGACTATAAAAACATGAAAAGATAGAGCCCTATTAGCAGACACTATAAACTATTTACAGAAAAATCAGATACATCGAATAATAAACTACTAAACACACTCAAACATACACATGGTAATATGCAAACAAAGGGCAAGTTACAGAAATACACTTATAATGATAATGGGTTAGGGTTAGGGTTAGACTAGCGTGCGGGTGTCTTTCCGAGGAGAGAGGGTTGGCACTGGCCCTCCAATTGTACTGGGTGGTCCTGGGTCGTTGGAAATGATCTTGACGGGACCCAGGCCAGTCTTCCCTCATGGTCGGTCTGTAGACCATGTGATCTTTAAGGTAAGTAACTTTTTCTCTGTAAGGTAAGGCACTTTTTTTCAACTTTTTCTGTAGTCTGTGTGTTTAGCGGCAACGTTTCGACGGAGGTCCGTCTTCCTCAGGCCTCAAGGTGCTTTCAGACCGGATCATGCGTTGCATCGGGTTTCAATGCAAAGTCTATGGTGGCGCGCATTCGACCGTCACAACGCACGGACCTCTCGGCACGCACAAACGGACTGTTCAATAATGACGCACGGACTTGGCGGGTTAGGGTTAGGGTTAGGTAATACAAAGTCACTGTCCCCCGAAGGGTACAGTAAAATGCACGGGCCCTCTCCCTGACTCTGGACCAAGAGGATGTTCCTGGGCACTGGCAACCACCATGATGGCCGCCATCTTGTGTCCAGGGGGTTCAAAAAATTGCTCTATAGTAGAGTATGTGTAGAAAAATTGTAGGCGCTACGTTTCGACAGCTTCTTGTGTCTTCTTCAGGCGAGTTCTACACTGACTGGAGGCACTCTGTTTGGTGTCCTCTTTTATATAGTGTACAGGCTCCGCCCCCCCACTCTTGTTGAGTATAACAAATTTTTAATAAATGAACTGATTTAGTCTCCAATTTATGTCTTCCTGTGACTGGTTAAGTTTAGGGCTGTTCCCCTCTATGGTTAAGGTTAGGGCCAGGAGCTAGGCTAGACTTTAGCTCTACTCTACTATGGCCACAATCTTGACAGTAGTCCAAGCGCGCATTTTGGCTGGTTGTTTCCTGCACAACAAGAAAATCCATTGTGATTTGCATATTGTTTCCACGTTTACAAGATTGTTTACTAGAATTGAACAAATTTAGTTAGGGTTAGGGTTAGGGGTTAGGGGTTAGGGTTAGGTCTGTAAGGAGACCGCCTCCTGAAAGGAGGGGTGTTGGCACGGGCCCTCTCCCTGCTCCCTGACCAATATCGGGTCCCACAGCCCCGGCGGTCACCGCTGTGGCCCTGCAGGCGCCACCGTTGGCGACCACCGTTGACCCAAGGTCCGTCATACGCCATACTCCCAGCCTAACTGTAGAGTATGTAGGTAAGTAGGGTGTAGACACTTGAAACGACGTTTCGACCGTTTAGGTCTTCCTCAGGTGTTGTGTCTACGAGTGAAGCGAGCGAATGAATGAGTGAGGAGGGTCAGAGCCGCCCCCTGCGTCTCCATTGGCTCTTCGGATTTCAAAAATGGAGAAACTTAAAACATGTCATTTTTAACTTAAACAAGGTTGTTTTGAACTTAAAAAAATAAAAAATAATAAAGAATGATTAACTTTAGAATGTTTTTAACATGAACTTAGTTGTTTTTTAATATTTTTATAGAAGGTTTTTTGAAGGTATTTATTATTTTTTTGTTTTTTTATATATATTTTTTATTCTTTTTTTGTGTGCACCACTTGTGCTACAGGTTTTAATCCCCTTTTTTTCTTTGTGATTTCTCTTTTTAGAAATAAATATAATTCAGACAACTGTATCCAGTGTGATAACCCCGTCCTGTTCACTTCCTGGTTTGCTCCGGAGGTCCAAGTGAGGGTGAGGGTAGGGTGTAGGGTTAGGTAAGTCCTAGGGTTAGGTTTAGGCAAGGGTCTAACTGGTTAAGTTTAGGGTTATGGTTAGGTGAGGGTCTAATGGGTTAAGTTTTAGGGTTAGGGTTAGGGTTAGGGTTAGGGTTAGGTATAGCGAAGAAACGCAAGATGGCCCTCTGGGAATGGCCCTCATTTGCATATGAGCATTTCACGTTTCAGCCAGTAGAGGGAGGCAGGTGGAGAGACAGAACAGGCTATATTTAAAGTCATTTTTAAGTCATGAACTATTATATTTTATTTACAATAAATCATATATATCGTGTAACTACACTCATGAAAGCTCAGTAACAATATTTGACAGCATTTCCCAGCCCCATCCGCCAGGGGGCGTTCCAATTTAAAAAGGGTTAGGGTTAGGGTTTTGGGGTTTAGGGTTAACGGTAGCTGTAGGTATAGCGAAGAAACTCAAGATGGCCCTCTGGGAATGGCCCTCATTTGCATATGAGCATTTCACGTTTCAGCCAGTAGAGGGAGGCAGGTGGAGAGACAGAACAGGCTATATTTAAAGTCATTTTTAAGTGATGTGTTCAGTTCAAATCATATATCGTGTAACTACACTCATGAAAGCTCAGTAACAATATTTGACAGCATTTCCCAGCCCCATCCGCCAGGGGGCGTTCCAATTTAAAAAGGGTTAGGGTTAGGGTTAGGGTTAGGGTTTTGGGGTTAGGGTAGCTGTAGGTATAGCGAAGAAACTCAAGATGGCCCTCTGTGAATGGCCCTCATTTGCATATGAGCATTTCACGTTTCAGCCAGTAGAGGGAGGCAGGTGGAGAGACAGAACAGGCTATATTTAAAGTCATTTTTAAGTCATGAACTATATTGTTTTACATGTTCTGCCTGTGGTGTTAGGGTTAGGGTTAGGGTTAGGGTTAGGGTTAGGGTTAGGGTTAGGTATAGCGAAGAAACTCAAGATGGCCCTCTGGGAATGGCCCTCATTTGCATATGAGCATTTCACGTTTCAGCCAGTAGAGGGAGGCAGGTGGAGAGACAGAACAGGCTATATTTAAAGTCATGAACTATATTGTTTTACATGTTCTGCCTGTGGTGTGCCTCGTGGTGTTTTCAATGAAAAAAAAAAAGTGCCTTGACTCCAAAAAGGTTGAAAAACAATGACGTAAGTAGGGCAATATGAGTTGAGTGGATGTGTTCAGTTCAAATCATATATCGTGTAACTACACTCATGAAAGCTCAGTAACAATATTTGACAGCATTTCCCAGCCCCATCCGCCAGGGGGCGGCAGGTAAACAGTGTGTTGCTATGGTAACTAGTGACTCTTCGCAGAACCAGCAGCGGTCCAGGATTCAGTCCAACACACACACACACACACACACACACACACACACACACACACACACACACACACACACACACACACACACACACACACACACACACACACACACACACACACACACACACACACACACACACACACACACACACACACGTTACTATGGCAACAGTCCCTCTGTATCCTAGCAACCAGATCATTGGGTTCCAGAACAGTGTTACGTCAAAGCAAAGATGATGTCACAAAGCCTAAAAAACTGGCCTTAGGGGAACGTCAAACTCAGACTAACAGTGTTTGGAGTCCGGAGAAACGGGTCAGAAAGCAACAGAGAAAAACCGAGATAGAAGCGAGAAAAAGACGTCCTTCAAGTTCGACGAGTTTTGAACCTACGTCACGCTGCAGTGAGAATGGAGAAGATCTCACTGACCACAGAAGGTCAGGAGCTGGGAGACGTTCCCACTGACTCCACCCTGACCTCAAAGATGGAGCAGCAGGAGAAGAAACTGATGAAGATCCAGAAGTTACACCAAAGTCTGCAGCAGGAGATCCAGGTCGTTCGCACGGCTTTGAACCAACACATCTCTGCTCGAGAAAGTCTAGGGCGAGAGTTTAAAGCCAGAGAAAGTGAACGCAAGAGGATTGAGATGTTAGAACTCCAACTGCAGGAGTTTGAAGACTTGAAGAAGCAGCATTCTTGGACTGTGGAGAGAAACCTCAGTCTGGAGAAGGAGAAGAAGGAGCACTTTGAGCAGATGGAGTTTGTTCAAAAGTGTTTGGACGAACAGGTCGCAGCTTCCCAGACTCTAGAACAAAAGCTAACTGAGAAGGAACGTGAATGCAAGGAGGTCGAGGTCCTCAAACGCCAACTGCAGCAGTTTGAAGAGGTCAAAGAGCAGTATTCTTGGTCTCTGAAGAGAAATGAAAGTCTGGAGAAAGAGCTGGAACAAGCCAAAGAACTGTTAGAGAGAAACGAGACTGAACAGTTCTCATTTTGTGAGAAAACGACTGAGATGTTAGAACTCCAACTGCAGGAGTTTGAAGACCTGAAGAAGCAGCATTCTTGGACTGTGGAGAGAAACCTCAGTCTGGAGAAGGAGAAGAAGGAGCACTTTGAGCAGATGGAGTTTGCGACTGAGCTGCAGCTTCTCCAGAAGGAAGTGTTGGAGGAAAACTTGGAGGAGATGGAGTTTGTAAAGAAGTGTTTAGAAGAATACGTCTCAGCTTGCAAAAAATTAGAAAAAGTGAAGGTGAAGGAAAGTGATTGCAAGGAGGTCGAGGTCCTCAAACGCCAACTGCAGGAGTTTGAAGAGGTCAAAGAGCAGTATTCTTGGTCTCTGAAGAGAAATGAAAGTCTGGAGGAAGAGTTGGAACAAGCGAAGCAAAGTTTGGCCAGAAACGAGACTGAACGTAAAGAGACGTGTGAGAAACTGACTGACTGAGCTGCAGCAGCGACAGAAGAAAGTGCTCACAAAGAGCTTTGAGGAGCTAAGGTCTGTAAAGCAGAGTTTGGAAAAACAAGTCTCTGCTCGCAAAACCTTAGAACAAGAACTTAGAGAAAAGGAAAGTGAATGCAAGAAGATTGAGGTCCTCGAACGCCAACTGCAGGAGTTTGAAGACATGAAGGAGGAGTATTCTTGGTTCGCCGACCGAAGCCTAAGTCTGGAGACAGAGTTCGAACAGACTAAACAGAACTTGGTAAACACTGAGCTCGACCTGAAGGAAGAACGTAGAAAACGGGAGATAGAAAGTGAGAAGTGGGAGATGGAGACCAGAGAGTTGGAGAGAGAGCTTCAGCTTTGCCAGAGTCGTCTTAAACAGATGGGAACAGACAGAGCGATCCAAAACAAGCCATCCACCTGCGAAACACAGACACAGACTGTCACGATGCAGCAGCTGGACTGGATAGAAACGGAAAACATGGAAGAAGAACGTCACAGTTTGGAGAAGTCTCTGCACGACAAAGAGGTGGAGTTTGAGAGTGAGCGGAGAAAGCTCAAAGAGGAACTGGAACAAGCCCACGACAAACTGAAACAGCAGAAGATTTCACAGAAGACGTTCTTACAGGAGCACCTGGAGGAACTCAGGGTTTTCAACAAGTTCTTAGAGGAGGAAGTGGCTGTTCGCAAGAGTTTGGAGAAACAAAATAGAGACTTCTAACCAGAGAAAGACGTGCACGTGTGAAATGCAGACGCAAACTGTGGAGCAGACTAAGCTTAAAATAAGTGAGGATTTAGACACGAGAGAAACCAGTAAAGACCAACCTTTAGACACCAGAGAAACCAGTGAAGACCAACCTTTAGACACCAGAGAAACCAGTGAAGACCAACCTGCTTTGAAGGAAGAATGCAGAGGGCTCCAAGGAAATCTAAAAAATCTGACACAATTATTTGAGGAGAAAGAGGAGCAGGACATGCAGAAGCAGGGATCCTGTCTGAAGAGGGACAGGGTGAAGGGGAAGAACGTTGCAGCTCTCATGAAAATGTTTGAGCAGTAAGAAAACACAACGTTCTCAGCAGCACAAGTCAGACGCTGTCGCTGCTAATCACAAGTCTTAAATGTAGTCTGAACAAAGAGGTTGGGAGGCGGGTGGGACGTGGCTGTTTGGTAAGGGTTTAAGGTGGAGCCAACAGAGGAAAACACCTGTAAAGGTTTTTTAGGCTGTTTGGTAAGGGTTTAAGGTGGTTTAAGGTTTTTTCTTCCTTCAAGATGGCGCCTCGTACGGTCGACATGGCTCTTTGCTGCTCTCTTTTTCTTTTGTTTTTACTTTTTAACTGTGCATCTGGCTGTTCCTACACCCGTGAGGAACTTATGAACATCCGACCCTCCGTTCCCATGGACCTATTGCCTGTTTTCTTGGCATCTGCGGCTGATTTAGTTCATGTTCTAGCCAAAAAAGTGTGGGCCCGTAAAAGGGGAAAGCGAGGAGGCCTGCTCGTGCGTCTTAGGAGGAGAGGAGCGCGCACGGCTCTCCCCGGCATTTTTCTCTCCAACGTACGCTCACTGGGCAATAAGATGGACGAACTCAGCCTGCTCATGAGAAGAAACAAGGACTTCGCCACATCCTGTGTCCTCTGCTTCACTGAGACCTGGCTAAATGAGCGGATCCCGGACTGCGCTCTGGAGCTGCAGGGCTTTGGGCTGTTTCGCGCGGATCGCCATTGTGCGCTCTCAGGGAAGAGCAGAGGCGGAGGGCTCTGTTTCTACGTCAATACAAACTGGTGTAACGATGTGACAGTGATCTCCAAGCACTGCTCTCCTGCTCTGGAATATCTTTTCATTCATTGTAATCCATATTACTCCCCGCGGGAAATTGTTTCATTCATTCTTGCCTCTGTTTACATACCGCCATGCGCGGACGCGCGCGAGGCTCAGCGCGCACTCGCAGAGCAAGTACTGTGTATGGAACGCTTATACCCGGACTCTCTGATTATTATCCTGGGGGATTTTAATAAGGGAAACTTGAGCCAGGAATTACCCAAATACAGACAGTTTATCAAATGCCCGACCAGAGAGGAGAACACTCTGGATCACTGTTACACCACCGTGCGCGGAGCTTTTCGCGCTGTTCCCAAGCCAGCCCTCGGCTTCTCAGATCACTCCATGATACATCTGGTTCCTGCTTACAGACAGAGACTAAAGCTCTCGAAACCTGCAGTGAGGAGCTCCAAAGTGTGGTCTGATGAAGCTGTGGAAGAGCTGCATGCATGGAATCTACAGACTGGGACCTTTTCAGAGCTGCCACAGACAGTTTGGATGAATACACGGACACTGTGACGTCATACATCCACTTCTGTGAGGATAGCATCATTCCAACAAGGACCAGGGTCATCTATAACAACGACAAACCCTGGTTCACTGCTAAACTCCGGCAGCTCAGGAAAGCAAAGGAGTCTGCTTTCAGGGAGGGGGACCGCAGCGGCTACAAAGCAGCTAAATATCAGTTCAGGAAAGAACTGAAAGCAGCCAAGTCCCGGCACAGAGAACGACTACAGGAGCAGTTTGGTAACAACGATACTGCTTCTGTCTGGAGGGGCCTACGGGAGATCACCAACTACAAACCCAAAGCCCCCCCCTGTGCTGATGACCACAAGCTAGCTGACGATCTGAACTTATTTTTCAGTCGCTTTGATGCTGCCCCTGACACCTCTCCCTCCCCCACCCCCCACTACTCTAACGACCCACCCATCAGCCCTGCCCCCAGCCTAACAATAGCCGCTAAAGAGATTAAACAACTCTTCCTGAGGCTGCACCCCCGCAAAGCTCCTGGCCCGGACCACGTGTCTCCGGCCACTCTGAGACACTGCGCCAGTGAGCTTACTCCTGTGTTCACGGACATTTTCAACTCCTCTCTGCAGTCCTGCCATGTCCCGGCCTGCTTCAAATCCTCCATCATTGTCCCCGTCCCGAAGAAGCCCAGGATCACAGGACTCAATGACTACAGACCTGTAGCACTTACGTCTGTCGTCATGAAGTCATTTGAACGCCTGGTTCTCTCCCATCTCAAGTCCCTCACCTCCCCCCTCCTGGACCCCCTGCAGTTCGCCTACAGAGCCAACAGATCTGTAGACGACGCCATTAACCTGGCCCTCCACCACATCCTACAGCACCTGGACTCCCCGGGGACCTACGCCAGGGTCCTGTTCGTGGACTTCAGCTCTGCCTTCAACACAATCCTGCCATCCCTGCTCCAGGACAAGCTCTCCCAGCTCAACGTGCCCGATTCCACCTGCAGGTGGATCACTGACTTCCTGACGGACAGGAAGCAGCGAGTGCGTCTGGGGAAGAATGTCTCGGACTCTCGGATTATAAATACAGGAGCCCCACAGGGCTGTGTTCTTTCTCCCCTGCTCTTCTCCCTGTACACCAACCACTGCACCTCCAGCCACGACTCCGTGAAGCTGATCAAGTTCGCGGACGACACCACCCTCATTGGACTCATCTCCAACAACGATGAGTCCGCCTACAGGAGGGAGGTGGACCGGCTGGTGTCCTGGTGCAGTGGTAACAACCTGGAGCTGAACGCCCAGAAGACAGTGGAGATGATTGTGGACTTCAGGAAGAGCACTGTCCCCCCGCCCCCACCCTCCGTGATGGACTCCCCCATCACCTCTGTGGAGTCCTTCCGTTTCCTGGGCACCACCATCACCCAGGACCTCAAGTGGGAGCCGACCATCAGCTCCCTCATCAAGAAGGCCCAGCAGAGGATGTACTTCCTGCGGCAGCTCAGGAAAGCCAAGCTGCCTGCACAGATGTTGGTGCAGTTCTACACGGCCATCATCGAGTCCATCCTCACCTCCTCCATCACCGTGTGGTTCGCTGGAGCCACAGTCAGGGACAAACAGAGACTACAGCGCATTGTGCGCTCTGCAGAGGAAGTGATCGGCCGCAGCCTTCCATCGCTGCAGGACCTGTACGTCGCCCGAGCTCGAGGCCGGGCTGGTCGTATCACAGCCGACCCCTCTCACCCTGCACATGGACTATTCCAACCACTCCCCTCAGGCAGGAGGCTGCGGTCCATCAGGACTAGAACCTCCCGCCACAAGAACAGTTTCTTCCCCTCTGCTGTTGGACTCTTGAACACTTCTTAACCTGTCCCCCTATTTTAAATTTGATTCCTTAGAAGAGTTTTAATTGTATATTTTTTATTATTATTGTGCCTTCTCTACCTTTTACTTCTCTTTCTGACTGTTGCACTGAGCCAAAACTATTTCCAAGTCTGTGACTTCCTGTTACTTACGTGGCAATAAAAATTATTCTGAAAAAAATAAAAGCTTCTGTACTTTGTCAGCATTGAACATTATTGTGTGAGGAATACTCACCAAGTATTTGCAAGTGTTTGCAAGTATTGAGAATCAATTTTCCACCACTCTGCGTCTTCGAGAAAGCCTGAAATTAAAAACTCCCTGCTGATAATCCATCTGACAAAAGGAGTATAGCTTCATGAGGTCTGTGCGGAAAGGATAAGCATCGTTGCCCAGGGGCTTTGTATGTTTGATTGTGGTAGTGGTTTTGCAGAAGGAATCTCCTGCATCTGATGCTCTTCCTTGTCCTCCCACACTGACATACAGAAACTGGTACTTGGCATCAACAAGCGCCATCATTAAAGGAGCTATACACGTTTCTGCAAGGTTTGAATATTTAGCACCTCAACTCGCTCACAGGCTTCTCGTTTATCCCTACGCTGTCATCCGAAAGAGCCCTCTAGGTTTATTTGCGATCTGATACATAATGCTAACATTAGCATTAAAATTAACAATTACTGCTAACAAATAATAAACTGAAAGATTACCGCTAGTTTCGCGTCCGAATGTAGTCCGAGCATATTGTCCAAGGTGGTCCCGCTCCCGCAGGTCTCTCCAGATGATATGATGTAACCTAGCTATGTTCACATCAGGCTCGATGAAAATTTTAAATCATTTTTTCACTTTAGTTCCCTCTTCTCTTCCTCACTGTTTCGTCGTTTGGACTGTTTTGCTGTGTATGCAGTTACAGCAAGAGGAGTTATAGCTAATTCTGCTAACATGCTACTGTGTTTAGCAGCGCTTTAGAGGCTAGAGGACGCAGCCTCGTTCTGTGAATGGAGGAGAGTAAAGTCTTCACTAAGCACTTTTTACAGCCTAAATTTATACACAAGCTGAATCAATGAGCTCAAGTTTTCAATTAAATTATGGATTATAATGCACTTGTATGTAGTTATAAGCATTTTTTATGAACTCATTAAAAAAACATCGGGTATAGCATCTTTAAAACAGAAAACCGCCTTTTGTAATTACGGAAGATACTGTACATCCACTATGAGCTGGGGGAAAAATGTTTGTTTCCCATCTAGGGCCCCAAGGTAATGGGGGAACTGCCACATTTGATGAAAATCTTGTGTCGAGCCATTCCTACTCTGTAGTTGGTGTCTGAAATGAATGATTTAATGCATCAGGCAAATAATTCTACTTTCAATGAGGACCAATGTAATTTCAATCAAATTTGTTAAATTACTTAACACTATTCAAAAATAAATATGATATAACCTTTATAACAGTTTTTTGTCAAAGTACTTGTTTGTTTTTTCTTTTTTTATCAGACTACATGCAATGCATGAGTTTCCTTTGTGTGTGTATTTAAAAGAAAAAAAACATCAAGACATGACCTTGAGATAATCTTTATCAAATGCTTGGTACAGGGCTTCAGTGACAATCTGGGAGATGGTTGATTTTACAACTCTAATCTGCAAGTCCTTTATGTAAAGGACTCTCCAAAAAAAGAAACAACATTGGCAGTGACTCGATTTAGTAAAAGTAAACACAATATACAAAACAGGCTGTTGCAAACAAACCTGTTGCCAAAAACCTTAGCGTTAAAACCAGTGTCTCCTTCGCAGAAATGGACAGCCTCATGTTTATATCCTGCTTTCTGATAAACAAGGCTACTTTATTGAGGACAAACTCAAGCTCCTCCACATTCATGCAAAGTAGCTCTTTGACCCTTTTTCTGTCAGAAACCTGTAAAATATAACAATATAAATAAAGTCTATGGCATAACAACGTCCAAAATTGCAGTCCACCAGGGCAAATGATGGAAACTAATATGAACACTTATTTAAACGGTAATTAATCTGTAGGCTACGACATTCCTATGAAGGGAAAAAAACATCTCACTTCCATACTATGATGTTGCAAGTATAGTCCATGCTTGCGTTGTCTCCAATTCTTTGACCATCGCTTTTTCTTTTGATAATACTTCTCTGTTAAAAACAAGCTCCAAACTATCGCCACTGCATTCTCTTCGTCCGCCATGATTTTTTACTCTGAAATCACGCTTGATCAAGAGATTTTGTGAGATTTCTGTCTGACCTGGGAATGCTCAAGGTGAAATCGGTTCGTGTGTACTGTGTGTGGTTTGCGTGATTTTGCCGTTTACCGTTTACAACCAGGTTAGACCCTTGATTCTTTATCTCCTTGTGTGGGGTCTCAGGTAAGGAAAATTGTCCGACAATTTTAAAATCGTCTCGTGTGAACCAGGCTTTAGGCATTTTGACACAAATGGATCTTTGATTGGACTTGTTTCTTTTATTGCATTGTAAGTAAGTAAGTAATGTTTATTTATTTAGCACATTATACAGACCAAGGTCACCCAAAGCGCATTGTTTAAGACTCAAATTGAGATTTCAAATGTTTGGAATGAATTTGAATAATCTATGGTGGTTATAGAGTCAAAATATAACGTACAGATGCAACATTGATGTTGCCCTGATCTGTTGTGAAGCCTTCATGAATAATTTTCAGTGTGTATCTAACCCTTAATGATTTGTTGCGCACACATGTAACACATTTTCAAAGCAATGCTACTACAAAGCAAAAAAAGACATTTATTAGAGAAAGGTGAACGATTTTAAAAAATAAACATTCACGAGCCTCAAGCGGGAGCAGAGTTTGAAGTCGCTGCCAGTGAAACATGAGCCAACAGTGCAGCAGATGTAACAAGCGTTTTGTCATGGTGCTCAACACTTTTGTTTTTTCATTATTTCCACTGTTTTTAACCGCTTTGGTCTTATTTTAAAACCCCCCAGTGGGGAAGATTGGATTTCTCACACTTACTTCTCCTGGGAAAGCAAAATAAATGGTCAAATTCACCCAATCAAAAGATTGCATCAATGGAGAAAGCAGAGTTGATATGGTGGCTGTATGGAGTTTGCATGTTCTCCCCATGCTCCAATTTTGCCTATCTCCTAAACATGTGTGACCAACAACGCCGCCTAGCTCGAAGAGGGCTAGGACCTCTTTAAAAGTATTGAAGCGTATTGCTGGAATCTTTCCAGCAAGTGCTGCACGGTATCGCGGAAGCCGGACTGAAACTCCATCCCAACAAATGCTGCTTCATGAGAACGGAATTGGAGTTTTTAGGGCACAAGGTTGGTGGAGAAGACATCAGTACTCTGGAGGAAAAGGTACAGGTTGTGAGGGACTGGCCAATCCCCACTAATCTCAGAGAACTGAAACGTTTCATTGGACAAGCCTCATATTACAGGCGGTTTGTGCGTGGCTTCTCTTGCATCGCTGCACCCTGTCCACAGCTGGAAAAAAATGTGTGGACCCCAGAGTGCGACCAGGCCTTTTGCACTTTGAAAAAGGCACTGACAGAGTCAGTCCCATCTTAACCCCCCCAGATACCAATCTGCCATTTGTAATGGACACAGATGCCAGCAATGTGGGAAGGGGTGCAGAGATGAGCCAGGTGGGATCAATTGTCCGCTGGTTGGACGATCTTGTGCCATATATTTTTAAAGTAGAGTACAGGCCTGTGAGTCGCCATGCCAACGTGGATGCAATGTCCATGTGCTCCATGTGCTTTGGATGCCTGCCGCTATTGTAAAAAACGGGAGGCCAAGGAACAGGAGCTCCATCTTGAGGAGCAGGCGAGTCCCTTGTGCAGCAGTGAAGGACCAATTTGTGAAGTGGCGGAGCTCCATCATCCACTGGAGTGGAGGACTCTAGAGGACTCAGGAGGAACTGGATCCCGGTCTGCTACCTGTTCTGCAGTGGGAATCAGTACAGAGACCACAGTAGAGTGAAGTAGCTGGGTCTTCGCTGGCTACCAAAGGACTTTTTAGAACGTTTACGACCCTCCGTATAAGAGTACTTCAGAGAGCGTGGACATAACTAGCTACAAGGGAAAGGTGGAAAACTGCAGTCCCCAGAGCACTCAGAAACCCAGTTCTGAAGGCTTGTCATGGAACTACTGGACAGGGACACTTTGGAGTCTCAAACTCTCTGACGGCTCTAGCAAGAGTTTTAGCGGGATTGGGACACGCAACTCCCCCATGTCCTGCTTGCGTACAGGTCTTCGGTTCAGGAGTCCACAGCATGCACACCTGCTCTTCATGCACACCTGCTGGGGCGAGAGCTACGGACACCCAGAGAAATGTCCTTCGGCAGACCCCCAGACACTCCTGCAGTCCAACCAGGAACGGAACACGCTGCCAGACCCCAGACATTGACTGTTTCCCCATCAACTGACACATGGATGCCCCCTGCTCAGAAGCATGTTGTTCCCAGGCCAGCAGTCACCCCAAAGAGACCCTATAGACTTTCTATGTGATCCCTATGGGCGAGGGACTTAGTGAGAAGGGGGCAGTGTAGCGACCCTGCATTTATGTTGCTGTTTAAAGCATGTTTTTGTTCACTGTTTAGTGTACTTACAGGATTGGTTCTGAGTTTGGGAGATCAGGCCTACTGGGGGGAATAGGGAAGATTGTTTTGATACAAGTCTCTCTTGCTCAGTACTACGAACGGGCTGCTGTTCTGCTTGCATTGGGGATCTGTATTGGTGTGGGTATGACTGACAGTAATCATCTTGTAATAAAGCAGCAAGTCGAACACTGTCTCATTCATTAACTCGAGCCAAGACGTTACAGTATGT